GACCCCTGTATCCTGTCTCCTGTCTCCTGTCCCCTGACTCCTGTCTCCTGTCTCCTGTCTCCTGTCCCCTGACCCCTGTCTCCTGACCCCTGTCTCCTGACCCCTGTATCCTGACTCCTGTAGCCTGTCTCCTGTCCCCTGACCCTTGTCTCCTGTCTCCTGTCTCCTGTCTCCTGTCTCCTGTCTCCTGTCCCCTGTCCCCTGTCTCCTGTCTCCTGTCCCCTGACCCCTGTCTCCTGATCCCTGACCCCTGTCTCCTGACCCCTGTCTCCTGTCTCCTGACCCCTGTCTCCTGACCCCTGTCTCCTGACCCCTGTCTCCTGACCCCTGTCTCCTGTCTCCTGACCCCTGTCTCCTGTCTCCTGTCTCCTGACCCCTGTCTCCTGTCTCCTGACCCCTGTCTCCTGACCCCTGTCTCCTGTCTCCTGACCCCGGTCTCCTGTCTCCTGTCTCCTGACCCCGGTCTCCTGTCTCCTGTCTCCTGTCTCCTGTTTCAAAAAACACACAATTTGTTTTCGTAAATCTAAGACATTTATCTTGAAAATTATGTTTTTTTTCGTACATTTTTTGTCGTTTAAATCTCACCCCTGTTTCCTGTCTCCTGACTCCTGACTCCTCTCTCCTGCCTCCTCAGACCCCCTGCGCCATCAAGAGGTGCGGGTGCCCCCCCCCCGGCGACGCGCTGTCTCTCGGCCCCCTGGTGGAGACGGAGGGCGAGGCGTACCTGGAGAAGACAGGCGGCGTGCGGCGCCACACGGTCGCCAACGTGCACTGTGACGAGGGGGGCGTGGCCTTCATGCTGGGGGCGGGGCCTATGGCTCCCAGGGGGGGGCGCACGGGGGTCACCTGCAGATAGACACTGGATGCAGAGATGCAAACTGCAGGGACAGGAAGTGACATCACGGGAGGGGAAATGAGAGAAGGATCCACGGAAGATCAGGAAACAACGGTTTTCTCCGAAAATACCACAAAGAGACACGAATTCGTAAAATAGACATAGAATGATAATATATATAAATAAGCATAATATATCTGAAAACATACAGAAAGACTCAAACAGACAGGAAGTCAAAGGATGGGACAGGAAGTGAAAGGATGAGACAGGAAGTGAAAGGATGGGACAGGAAGTGAAAGGATGAGACAGGAAGTGAAATGATGGGACAGGAAGTGAAAGGATGAGACAGGAAGTGAAATGATGGGACAGGAAGTCAAAGGATGAGACAGGAAGTCAAAGGATGGGACAGGAAGTGAAAGGATGGGACAGGAAGTCAAAGGATGGGACAGGAAGTCAAAGGATGAGACAGGAAGTGAATGGATGAGACAGGAAGTGAAAGGATGGGACAGGAAGTGAAAGGATGAGACAGGAAGTGAAAGGATGGGACAGGAAGTCAAAGGATGGGACAGGAAGTGAAAGGATGGGACAGGAAGTGAAAGGATGAGACAGGAAGTCAAAGGATGGGACAGGAAGTCAAAGGATGGGACAGGAAGTCAAAGGATGAGACAGGAAGTCAAAGGATGGGACAGGAAGTCAAAGGATGAGACAGGAAGTCAAAGGATGAGACAGGAAGTCAAAGGATGGGACAGGAAGTGAAAGGATGAGACAGGAAGTCAAAGGATGGGACAGGAAGTCAAAGGATGAGACAGGAAGTCAAAGGATGGGACAGGAAGTCAAAGGATGAGACAGGAAGTCAAAGGATGGGACAGGAAGTCAAAGGATGGGACAGGAAGTGAAAGGATGGGACAGGAAGTCAAAGGATGGGACAGGAAGTGAAAGGATGAGACAGGAAGTCAAAGGATGGGACAGGAAGTGAAAGGATGGGACAGGAAGTGAAAGGATGGGACAGGAAGTGGGATCTCAATGTAAATACATTTCTCTTTTAGCATTCTTAATGATTAATAAAGATTATTAAATTAAAAAAGCTGTGTTTGTTAATCTGTCTGAAACCAGCAGTCTGCTCTGATTGGTCAGCTGGCCGGCTCTGTTGTGATTGGTCGACCGGCTGCTTAGAGATGTCCCGCCTCCTTAGCCTATCATGAACAATGTGTTGCCAGCGCTAGCCAATAGGAGAGCAGGGAGTGTTCCGTAGTGATGTCACTGTGTTCCGTAGTGATGTCACCGTGTTCCGTAGTGATGTCACTGTGTTCCGTAGTGATGTCACCGTGTTCCGTAGTGATGTCACCGTGTTCCGTAGTGATGTCACCGTGTTCCGTAGTGATGTCACCGTGTTCCGTAGTGATGTCACCGTGTTCCGGAAGCCTCTTTTTTAATAATGTGGAAATTAACAGAAAAAAAAAAAACAGTTTTTATTTAATTTACACTTTTTTTGGGTCTAAAGACAAACTCCATAGAGAGCTGCAGTGACGCGTCCTAAAACCCGGAAGTAAGCTGCGCATGGGTTCCCTCGACAAAAAAGCAATGAGATTTCTCCATAGGATTTTAGAAAATAGCTCGAAATCAGGTCAGTGGTTGAGACACATTTAAGAGACAGATCACGTTTTGTTCAGCCGGATAATCTCCACATGTCTACTTTGATAATGTTCTAATCATAACTCTAATGTCCAGAAGCTACATGCTAACGTTATGCTATAAAGGAGCTACAGCGAGTCCAGCAGCACGACTTCAATGTCACGCCAACTTCAGATCCAGATTCAAACGCACAGATTCTAGATGGAACGAGTTGAAGCGTTTGTTTGAACACTCTGCAGGAGGCAGGAACTTGCTTTCAAGCAGAACAGAAACTAACGTAGAGGAGTGTTCACGTGTTCGGCGTAATGACGTACAACGACCTCCACGACTTCTGTAGTCCTATTCAGCCACTTGGTAACAACCATCGTTTCTCAGACACGTCAACTCTTCAGAAATCACCAGTGGGGTCACCATCCGTTCTTTGTAACCTCTATATTGATGATCTGTCTAAGCGACTGAAAGCCTGTAATACTGGATGCATGCTTGGTAGCACTCTAGTGAACCATATTATGTATGCAGATGATGTTGTTGAGCTGAGTCCATCTAGCGCTGGTCTTGGCCTTATTGAACATAAGGTTTAGTACACGCTACCAATGGCAGCTGTGGAGACATTGGTATAGTTGTCTCTTTGTAGGACACTGATTTAAATTATTCTTAAACTATGAATTATTTTTATGCTGTGTATGTAATTTATCATATGTAATGTCTTGTCTTTTATCAGGACCCTGAGTCTGTAATAAAGTTTTCATCCATCCATCTTCTCCAGGGGTGAAAGTGGTTTGAATTTCTTGCAGGTACTATAATGCTACCCCAGCTTCATGCATCCCTGAACACAAACTTCACATGTTTAATGCCTTTATGGGGTAAAATTAGAAACACTTGACAATATGTGACCCGCTCTATCGAAATCAGTCGGAAGTCTCAACGGCTAATTTCAAAATAAACGTGGATTTATGTAAAAAGCTATTTGTTCGGGGTTCAGGTGTTTGGTTTGATTTGAAACAAACAAAGTCTTGGCTTTCAGAATATGAAACTTTTATTTCCAAAATCACACAATAAATACATTCTTGAAGCTTGTGAAGGGACGAAGACAGCTCTCCCTCGCACTCTGCTGTTCCGCAGCGCTGCCCCCCCTCCCTCCGGCTGACATTATGAATGTAAGGCGTATAGTAATCATAGATAACACGGCAGGGTCCGTTACGGTTTGTTTTCATCTGGTTTCAATTAAACAAAGTCTTGGCTTTCAGAATATTAAACTTGTTTCGGATTCAGATGATAAATACAACTTTGAAGCTTCGGCATAATTACAAACGGAGAACGGAGTAACTTAACGTCACAGCAGGCAGAACAACAGCCGGTGTTTCTCGTGAGGGTTTCCCCGGGAAACAAACACAATACACACAAACGCAAAAATACACACACACACACACACACACACACACACACTCGCGAGCTTCCCCCAGACCAGTAATCCAAACCAAAATATCTTCCCTTCGTAGTATAAATTCCACGGGTGGAGCTGTCAATTCTTCCTGGTGCTCCGGACCGCCTGGAAATCTCTTACCGTTACTAAGGACCGGGTAGGACCGGCACACTTTCAACACTGATCTTCTCCCGCTTATCCGTGGTCGGGTCTCGGAGGTATCAGTTCCAGCAGAGAGCCCCAAACGTTCTTTTCCCCTCATCAACCAGCTCTGACTGGGGGGTCCCAAGGCGCTCCCAGGCCAGCAAAGAGATATAATCCCTCCGCCTGGTCCTAGGTCTACCCCTTGGTCTCTTCCCAGCTGGACGTGTCTGGAACACCTCCCTAGGGAGGCGCCCAGGTGGCATCCTAACTAGGTGCCCGAACCACCTCAACTGGCTCCTTTCGACGCGAAGGAGGAGCGGCTCAACTCCGAGTCCCTCCCTGATGACCGAACTTCTCACCTTATCCCTAAGGGAGACACCAGCCACCCTGCGGAGAAAACCCATCTCGGCCGCTTGTATTCGCGATCTCGTTCTTTCGGTCATGACCCATCCTTCATGACCATAGGTGAGGGTAGGATGAAAATGGCCCGGTAGACAGAGAGCTTTGCCTTCTGGCTCAGCTCCCTTTTCGTCACAACGGTGCGGTAAAGCGACTGCAGTACCGCTCCTGCTGCTCCGATTCTCCGGCCCATCTCACGCTCCATTGTTCCCTCACTCGAGAACAAGACCCCGAGATACTTGAACTCCTTCACTTGGGGTAAGGACTCATTCCCTACTTGAAGTGGACAGTCCATCGGTTTCCTGCTGAGAACCATGGCCTCAGATTTGGAGGTGCTGACCAGCGGGGTCTCTGCTGATGGATTTAATGTCGTAGAACAAAATGTGATCTGTCTCTTCAATGAGTCTCAACCACAGACCTTAGTTCCAGCTATTTCCCTAAACCCTACGGAGAGATCCCATTGGCTCTGAGACGAGGGAACAGGAAGTGGTGAAATGCTGACTCACTTCCGGGTTTTAGGACTCATCACTGCTCCACTCTATAACGCTGTAAATAATTAAAGACGAGTCCGGTGATTGAAATGTGTTTTAATATTACATCCAGAACTACAAAATGAGTTAAAAACATCCAAACGCTTTTCGTCGTCATCCTGAACAAATCTGTAATATTTCCCCAGCCTTTAAATGCGTCAAACATAAATGTTAATTCACTATTTGTTAGCATGGTGTGCTAACGGCTAGCAGTGTGTTCTCTCTGACGTAGTTTCCTACAAGGCTCTTTATTTATTTCTCACAAACATCTCAAAGACTTGGCACTGAACATGTGTTTTATAAAAATCCCTTAAACTGCAGGAGACTAAACTCAGGTCACAAAATAAAGTACATTTGAGTTAATGAATATACTTTGTAATGAATGAGTGCTATTCCCGGTGTACTAACGATGTACATAGTATGCCTACGATGTATTTAATTTGGGCTTCTAAAGATACACTAAAAAACTGTTTGTGTAATCATTTTAATATTAAAAAAAGTGCTTGACAGAAATATATATTACATAAGTAAACATAAAACATTTTATATAGAATTAATTAAAAATCTAAATTATAATTAATTATATTTAAATGTATTATTCACAGTTTTTGGGATATTAAATATATATATAATTCGTATTTATTATAAGTGGATTAGCAGTGATATATCATTGATAAGAATTGGGAATGATTATTTTAATATATTTGAAAACACTTAAAGTTAAGTTGGAATAAAGTGCATCTTTAAGAAGTGAAAAAAACATTGTACTTCGTTTTAAATACATGTATAAAGTACTTTAAATATTATAATGTATAGGACATGTATTTGGAGTTCACTTAAATATCATTTAATTTAAGTGGGAATAAAGTGCATTTTTAAAAAGCTTGACGCTAAATCTTTAGAAGCAATAATAATATAGTAAGCAAATTAGATCAATTGTTAGTACATTTGAAATAGCACCTGCAGTAATTAGTCATCTGTGCACAGTAAGTATACTAAATCAAGTGTAAATGTTTTTTTTACCATGAGCAGTATTCAGTTTCTACGGAAGAGGATTCGGGACACATGGGAATTAAAAAGAATATATATTAAAATAAAAAAAATTCAGAAAAATAATCAGAATTCAAAAGATTTTCTCAGAATTACGATTTCATCCAGAAGTCTTAGATTAAAGTCAGAATTTTCTAAAATGAAATCAGAATTCTGACATTCCATAAGAAAAAATATGGAATTGTTTCTCAGAAAATATCAGAATTACGATTTTTTTCCCTCAGAAATAAGATTTAATTTAATTTAGTCAGAATTCTTCCCAGAATTATGCAATTTTCCAAAAAATATATATACTACATTTTTATTCAGAATTCTGACTTTTTGGATAAAGTAAACAAATCAGACGTAAAAAAATACTTTTTTTCTCAGAATTCCAAGATTAAAATCAGAATTATGCGATTGTCAAAGAATATATACTGTAATACCTTTTTACTCAGAATTCCGACTTTTAGGATAAAGTAAACTTTCCGAGATTAAAATCAGAGGTAAAAAATATTTTTTAAGAATTCCGAGAAAAAAGTCAGAACTTTTCCCAGAATTGCGAGATATAAAAAAAAAAATACAAAATACATTTAAACTTATTTTTTCATAATTCTGAGATTAGAACAGAAATCTGAGGGGAAAAAATATTGCAAATATTTTCAAAAAATCGCAGAATTCTGCCTTTAATTTAACAAATTGAAAAAGAAATCACTCTTTTGGTAAAATCTCCCCAAAACGACACCTGGCCCAGATCCTCTTCCTACATTTCACATTTACAGAAAGATTCATTCAACTTCAGCAGGAAAGGTTTCTCCACGAGATTAAACACTTTTTGAAATAAAGGCAGCGATTCAACTCGAGTTTAAAACATTTGTTGATTTCATTCATAATGTTTTGTTTTTTTTACAGATGACTTTCTTATTTCTGGCACTTTGTCGGCTTTAAAAAGTATCTGTCTTTGAATAAAAGCTGTTAATAACTTTACAACAAAGCAACATGTGTCCTGGATCACTTTAATTAATGATTACTAATATCAGATATAAATCTCCTGTTTATTTTCTGCAGATTGTAAAATCAGTGACATCTTCAGCACACTTTTAATGGAATGATTTAAAGCGCTGTGATTGGATGTTTGATATTGAAATGCATCTTGGGAGTAGTAGTTGGCTTTGTGTAGCTTTCACTTTAAGGGGTTCATGTCAATTAACAACAAAAAAAGAGCATCTATGTTAGAAAGTATCTGTGAACTGACGAAAAGTTAAAAAAACCTGTGGAAATACAATCTGAAGGAGAGGAGTAAACTACGACTCCCAGGGTGCATTGCAGTAAAAACATCCAATCACAAAGCTTAAAAATCTGAACAGAAGTTAAATAACTCACTTATGTTTACAGTCTGCATTTTAAAGGAGTTCACTTTTGGATGCTGTGTTTTGAATTAGCACCTCTGACTTAAATCCTTAGCAACAGCCGCTGAGGCTCATGGGAAATGTAGTTTCTTAGACCATTCCGCCATTTCCGAGATAATAATAATAAACATCGTTCATAATAAATTATTACAGCTGTTTTCACATCAGTATGAAAACCACACACACACACACACACACACACACACACACACACACACACACACACACACACACACACACACACACACACACACACACACACACACATTGATATTCTATATCTGTTATGTTACAGCATCTCTTCGTCCCTGAACCCTTGCGACCTCTATGTGACGTTTCTATGGTAACCCGGTCGCGGCGGCGAGTACAGTCTTTGCTCAGCGTCGCCCTCTGATGGACGGACTACGTAAGTGCAGGTCTCTTCTTCTTCTTCTTCTTCCACTCCCTGATTGGCTGCAGTGTCAGGTTCCTGTCCTCTGATTGGCCAGCCAGCAGGGCAGCTCTCCACACCTGAAAAAAAATGTCTATATTTATTTATTTTTCTTTTAAACTAACATTTACATTTCTTTACATAATGATGTGTTTCATGATGATGTGTTTCTTATAATGAAAAAGTCTTGTTTTATTTTTTGTTTGGACAGAAAATTGGTTAGACTTGAGAGATAATAATAATAGTTTAAAGCTCTGTGATTGGATGTTTGATGATGAAATGCATCTTGGGAGTAGTAGTTGGCTTGCTGTAGCTCTCACTTTAAGAACATTTATTTTATTTGTAAAACAAAATACAAACATTAGGAAAGGAAAACTTAATAAGAACGAGTCATCATATTTAAAAAAAAAACCTGTGTGTGAGTTTCACCTCTCTCTCAGGGCTGCTCAGGAAGCTGTGTGTGTGTGTGTGTGTGTGTGTGTGTGTGTGTGTGTGTGTGTGTGTGTGTGTGTGGTCTAGCATTACTATACTTGTGGGGACCTAAATCTGTTTATATAGTCACGTGTGGGGACTGGCTTCCCTTATGGGGACAAATTGGAGGTCCCCATGAGGGGAATCATTCATTTTAGGGTGAAGACTTGGTTAGGGTTAGGGTAAGGGTAAGGGTAAGGGTTAGGGTAAGGGTAAGGGTAAGGGTTAGGGTAAGGGTAAGGCATGTGTTGGTTTTGGTTAAGGTTAGGATAAGTCTCCAGGAAATGCATGTAAGTCAATGTAATGTCCCCTGAAGTGATGTATACATGGTATGTGTGTGTGTGTGTGTGTGTGTGTGCGTGCGTGTGTGTGTGTGTGTGTGTGTGTGTGTGTGTGTGTGTGTGTGTGTGTGTGTGCGTGTGTGTGTGTGTGTGTGTGTGTGTGTGTGTGTGTGTGTCAGTCACCTCTCTTTCAGGGGGGTCTGGCTGCTCAGGAAGCTCAGCTGCTGCTCCAGACGACAGACTCTGAAAGCCAGATAGCAGGAAGACAAAACCAGCAGGAAGACCCTGAGGGGAACACATACTATATTATGACTTATTGAAACATTTGATCAGTCATAAGAGACTGTGACTTTTTTCTACGAAATAATAAATAATGATTTCACTATGACTTATTGCAACAGACTATACTATAACCTTTTATGATTTATTACAACATACTTTACTATGAATGTATTCAACATACTTATAATATTTTACGACATACTATGACTTTTAATTTTTCTAGGTGAAACTATAAGATTACTTTTTCTTAACATCATAGACCTTTCCCAAAAAACACTTTGCGTTGTTCTATCCCAGGACTTTTCAGGACGTAAAATGTAAAAGTATGTCATAAGAACATTTCATTTCATATGATGCTATAAATAAAGGTCTAATGAATTGTATGGTATGCTTTGGAAGCGTGACTGTCCATGTAATGCATGTGGAATCTATGCTACCAGCAGGGGGCAGCAGAGACCAACACACACTTCAGTCTGAATCTAGAGACTGCCCTGAACACACCGAGCAGTTCATCATCCTCTCTGAACTATCTGAACTGATTGTTTTACTGTGAGGTATTTCTGGATTACTGGCAGGATTACAGAGACATTCAAATCCTGAAAAGAGCCACTAAGCTCTTTTCAGGATCAGACCTTTTCTCTGTAAGCTGTACTGTTCTGTTTTAAATCTCTACTGCCTGAATCTGCTTTATTAAATATGTTTTATTTTTTACACGTGGCCCTAATCATCTTCTTAAAAACATTATCAGAATCCTGATTTATTTTCCTTTTAATATTTTTTTCAAAATTCAATTTTTTTTCAAATACATGACTTTTTTTTCAGAATTCTCACTTTTCTTTTACAAAAATCTCAATTTCTGAAAAAACCCGGACTTTTTTTTCACAGTTCTCGTTTTTTTTCTCCAAATCTCAATTTGTTTTTCTAATTCCTGAGTATTTATTTAATTCTAACTACTTTTTCAGAATATTATTTTATAAAAATTCAGACTTTTACCAAAATGTTCAACAATTTTTTCTAAATGTTAATTTTTTTCTCGGAAATCTAACTTTTTCTCGGAAATCTAACTTCTTTCAAATTCCTGAGTTTTTATAAAATTCTCCTTTTTTATAAAAACTCTCACTTCTTATAAATCAGCTTTTCTGTCTCTTCTGTATGATCGTTCTTAAAGTCTGGATCTCTCTGTTCTGCCTGAATCTGCTTCATGGTTTTCACTTTCTTGGCTTCATTTGTTCTGTTTTGAATTCAGCAGCTGAACCGATATGTTCATCAAATAGTGTATTAAACTAAAACAGAGCATTTCCTGTCGGATCAGATTCCACTTCTGCTTTTTTAAACTGTAGTTGGTGCTCATGTGTTTCAGTGTTGGACTACTGACTGAATCTGCTGAACGAAAGGCAGGTTTTACTGTTACAAAAATAATTTCTGATCTTAAATATCTTTATTTACTAAGGTCACGTTGTTCTGTTGTCTTACGCAATACTCAACATCTTGTTTTTATTAGCATTGCATTTGATATTGAGGTTAAATGACTTGTATCTGAAATTAGGACTGATCACATTCACAGGTAACTAGGTGGTAATGGATTAGATGAGAAGTGGGACTCACAGCAGGACGAAGAGTTTGAGCAGCTGGTACTCTGATTGGCCCAGTTCAGGGACTGGTTCTGTCAGCAGGATCTTCTCCGTCTCCAAACTGCTGTCTGCAGAAACAACGACTGTAGAGTCAGTGAACGTTACTGTAGAGTCAGTGAACGTTACTGTAGAGTCAGTGAACGTTACTGTAGAGTCAGTGAACGTTACTGAAGAGTCAGTGAACGTTACTGTAGAGTCAGTGAACGTTACTGTAGAGTCAGTGAACGTTACTGTAGAGTCAGTGAACGTTACTGTAGAGTCAGTGAACGTTACTGAAGAGTCAGTGAACGTTACTGTAGAGTCAGTGAACGTTACTGTAGAGTCAGTGAACGTTACAGTAGAGTCAGTGAACGTTACTATAGAGTCAGTGAACGTTACTGTAGAGTCAGTGAACGTTACTATAGAGTCAGTGAACGTTACAGTAGAGTCAGTGAACGTTACTGTAGAGTCAGTGAACGTTACTGTAGAGTCAGTGAACGTTACTATAGAGTCAGTGAACGTTACTATAGAGTCAGTGAACGTTACAGTAGAGTCAGTGAACGTTACTGAAGAGTCAGTGAACGTTACTGAGGAGTAGTCTTAAAGGACTACAAAGAGACTCAAAAGGACACAAAGACTCAAAAGGACTTCAAAGACACTCAAAAGGAAAACACACACTGATGGTACCTGTGAGTGTGTGTGTGCTGAAGGGTGTGTCGGCCACGAGGCTCGGGGAGGAGTTTCCCAACAGGTCGGGCAGCGAGGAGGAGACGGCGGGAAGAGAAGGCTTCCTCCTCCACTTCAACACCTCTGGAAACTCGTCCTGAAGACAGGAGACAGACGTCAACACCGAGACAAACACACAACATTTTGAGAGAAATACATATTTTTGAGAAAAAGCCAAAAAAAAATTGATTTTTCAGAAAAAGTCAGATTTTTGAGAAAAAGTCCAATTATTTTTGATTTTTCAGAAAAAGTCAGACTTTTGAGATTTTGAGAAAAAGTCCGTATTTTGAGATTTGGGGAAAAATACCAACAAATCCTCTTTTTTTGTTTTGACTACTTCCATTCTTGAGGATCATAAATACATGGATCCTGACGTTGAAGCTCAAGCCGGGGACCAGGGAGAGTTTTCTAACTTAACTTAATTGAATATAAAGTGTGTGTATTAAATAACGTCACCATGGACAGAGAGCTGGGCTCCTCCAGGTATTGCTTCAGACTCAGAATCTTCCCGTTCACCTGCAGCCAGAGAAACAGGAAGTCAGGAAGAAAACTGATAAATATTCTGAAATTAATTAACAAATATAAATCAACTGTTAATGTTCCTGACCTGCAGGTGAGTGCAGATCCTCCGCAGGACGTCGTACACGCTGTCTCTGGACAGCAGCGACACAAACACGTACTGTAATCATAATAATAATATTAATAGTTTAAAGCTCTGTGATTGGAGGATTGATGGTGAAATGCATCTTGGGAGTTGTAGATTGCTTGCTGTAGCATTCACTTTAAAAGGTTCATGTCAATTAACAACAAAAAAAGAAATCTATGATAGAAAGTTTCTGTGAATTGACGAAAAGTAAGAAAGAAAACTGTGGACATAAAATCTGAAGGAGAGAAGTAAACTACGACTCCCAGGGTGCATTGCAGCTACAAATACATCCAATCACAAAGCTTCAAATTATTTATTTTTTAACACTTTATTTTTGAAAGTTTTCATTACAAAGAAAAATCATACAGAATGTCATTGAGCAGTCAAATACATAGTGTCGATGCAACAGTGCACATTTCAACCAGACTGCCAAAAAGCAGATCCAATAGACCCCCACCCGACCCCAGCATGAAAGAAAAAACAAAACAGAGCAAATGAGATAAGTGCTCTCACAAATGACACAAAAATGAAATAAATACAAAACATACAAAAAGACAAAATATATGCAAAACGTACAATATTGCTTTAGCTGGTAGCCCAGATTCAGCAACACTCACATCTGTCTTTAAAGAGTTACGTCCAGCCTGCACTTCTCTACGTGTGGGATCAACGGCTGCCAGGCCTGATAACATCTGTCAGTAGATCAGAGTGGACCGGATGTTCTGCAGACACTGCGACAGGTCTCTAATCCAGTGAGTGGGGATTCATCCTTCCATTCAAGAAGAATTAGTGGTCGAGCTATCAACGATGCAAAAGCAATGGCATTTCATTTATATTTTGGAAGTTGAGCTTCTCTAGCAACATCTCCAAACCGTGCTGTCAGCGGAGACTGACTGAGAGGAATCTCAAACACTTCTGAGAGAGTTTTAAAGACATCTTCCCAGTACTTGCAAAGTCCAAAAAGTGTGAAAAGACTCCCTACTTGATTCTTGCACCTAGCACACATGGGGCTCACATTAGGAGAACACTTGGCTAATTTGGCTTTAGTATAGTGTAGACGATGAAGAATGTTAAACTGTAGGAGTCCATGCCGTGCGCAGATAGAGGAGGAGTGAACTTTGTTTAGAATTGAATCCCATGTGTCCTCATCCAATTGTAATTGTAAGTCCTCTTCCCATTGGCCTTTGATTATAGATAAGGAGGGGCAGTCAAGTTGAGAGATGATCTTATATATTTGAGAAGCCACCCGAGTGGGTTAACATCCAAAATATGGTCTAATATTGTTTTATCCGGCGGATAAGGGAAATTAGTTCGAGCAAAGCTTCTAACCTGCAAATATCTAAAAAATTGGTTGTTAGTAAGATTATATTTCAGCTTCAGCTTGACGCAAAAGTACCATCAATATATACATCTCCAAAAGATTGAATACCTTTTGTCTCCCAAATGTTAAAAGCAAGGTCCTGCAGTGATGGGGGAAAAGAATGATTTTGATCAATAGGTGCTGAAAAGGGCATTAACGGCCCGTCCACACTACAGCTTCGACAGCTTCAAAAACGGTTTCCAACGCATCTGCCCATTCACTTTGAATGGGGTGACGTCACGTTGCCTCGCTTTTCGCCGAACTGAATTGTGGGTAGCATAGCGGCCCGTCTCTGGAGTAGCCAGCACCAGCTAATCAAATCCCGTTTCTGAAAATCTGACAGCTCAAGCCCTAGCCAAAAACCGCGTCTAAGCTGGGAGAGATATCCCGCCGTTCATTTCTATATTTAAAAAAAAGATGGAGGAGAAACTAATTATCGCCGTAGCAAATCACCCGGTTTACAAACCGGAGGAACCAGGCATGGAGGGAGGTGGCAGAGACAGTGGGTGAAACTGGTAGGTTTTCGCCTGTTTGGGGAGTTTATATATATATATATATATATTGCTCGCATAAAATCCCCGGGGGTTTTTGCTTTGTATGTCGGGGGCGGGAGATTCATGTGATTGGTTGTTGGTCGCGTTGCTCGAATAAAATCCCCAACCTTCAGACACGCCCAGCTCCAAGCTTTTTTTGAAGCTGTAGTGTGGACGCTCCGTAATACAAGTCCACATGTCCAAATGTAACATTTGTGATATTGGGCTATATAAATAAACATTGATTGATTGATTGATTGACATGTGTTCCTAAACTGGGCCCAGATCCTAAGGGAATGTCCAAGTGTTGGGTTATTTGTATATGCAGAGATCCACAGTTGTGGGGCATGTCAAGAGAGCAGGTAATGAAGACTGTTTACAGAATGAGGCTTCAGCAGCCAACCAGGGTGGTTGTTGGTTGTCTCACGGCATTTTCCAAAATAACATGCTACGAATATTAGCTGCCCAGTAGTAATACTCAAAGTCAGGTAAAGCCATTCCTCCTGATTGTTTTGGCCTTTGCAAAAAAGCCTTACGAATTCTTGAAGGTTTATTGTTCCAAATAAATGTTGAGATAGATTTGTCAAGGGCTACAAAGAATGTTCTTCTCATCGATACTGGCACACATTGAAACAAATAAAGACATTTCGGCAAAACATCATCTTAACGGCATTGATTGGGCCAGAGAGGGGTAGCGTATTCCACCTCTTTAAATCCTTCTTAACTATTTCTAAAAGGTCAGTAAAGTTGAGGTCAAAGAGTTTATTATGTGATTGTGGAATTCTTACCCCTAAATTAGAGATATACTCGGATGTTTGTCCCAGACCGACATTTTGAAAAGGTAGAGTTTTAGCTATTTTATTTATTCAATTCAATTCAATTCAAAACCTTTATTTATACAGATAAAACCCATTGAGATCATAGACCTCTTTTACAATGGTGACCTGCTTCAATTAGTTCCAAACATTAATACAAACATGACAGAAATATAGGAAGCAACTCACTTTTCTGAAGGTTTAATTTATAGCCTGACATTTTTCCGAAGCTGTTGAGTATACTGAAGACATGGTAATGTAGAGCAGGACATCATCTGCATGTAAGGAAAGTTTATGTTCCTCTCCAGCTCTAAACACTCCTTTCAAATGTGCCTCAGAACGGAGCTGAACTGCCAAGGGCTCAATCGCTACTGCGAGCAGGAGGGGAGATAGGGGCAGCTGCCTTGCACCGCGTGAAGTGGGAAATAACTAGATTTCTCTTTGTTGGTTTGTACTCGTGCCGTCGGAGATGAAGATAATAGATGTATCCATGATATATAGTGTTCACCTAATCCAAATGTAGCAAGGGTATAACATAAATAATCCCATTCTACCCGGTCAAAGGCTTTTTCGGCATCAAGGGATAAGACTATCTCAGGTTGAGGTGAGGAGCGAGTGTATACGATTTGAAAAAGTCTGCGTATATTAAAAAAAACGTGCCTCCTGTGAAGCCGACAATTGAGCGGCCCGACCAAGCAAGGAGGCAGAGCGTCCAAAAACATAACCCGGTGTGGGCATTTATTAAACTGGGTCCCAGGACACTCGCTGTTCCCGTGAGCACAGTCACCAGCCACAGGGATCTCACATTGTGGGGAGCGGAGCATGGCTTTGCAAGCATCGTGAGCATCAAAAGTTGAGCAATGTTCAACTTTTGATGCTCCCGATGCTTTCATCAGCCAATCAAATCCCGTTTATGCAAATCCCGCCAGTACAAGCGCTAGCCAATCAAACCGCGTGTAAGCAGGGAGAGCCAGACCACAGTTCATTTCCTCATATTCCAAACGAGAAATTATGGTAGCAAATCACCCGGTTCTTTCTGACCAGAACTATTTACCGGGATACAAAGGAGCCAGGCATGGAGGGAGGTGGCAGAGACAGTGGAGTAGCCAGGCATGGAGGGAGGAGGCAGAGACAGTGGAGGAACCAGGCATGGAGGGAGGAGGCAGAGACAGTGGAGGAACCAGGCATGGAGGGAGGAGGCAGAGACAGTGGAGGAGCGAGGCATGGAGGGAGGAGGCAGAGACAGTGGAGGAAGCAGGCATGGAGGGAGGAGGCAGAGACAGTGGAGGAACCAGGCATGGAGGGAGGAGGCAGAGACAGTGGAGTAGCCAGGCATGGAGGGAGGAGGCAGAGACAGTGGAGGAACCAGGCATGGAGGGAGGAGGCAGAGACAGTGGAGGAACCAGACATGGAGGGAGGAGGCAGAGACAGTGGAGGAAGCAGGCATGGAGGGAGGAGGCAGAGACAGTGGAGGAACCAGGCATGGAGGGAGGAGGCAGAGACAGTGGAGGAAGCAGGCATGGAGGGAGGTGGCAGAGACAGTGGAGGAACCAGGCATGGAGGGAGGAGGCAGAGACAGTGGAGGAGCCAGGCATGGAGGGAGGAGGCAGAGACAGTGGAGGAACCAGGCATGGAGGGAGGAGGCAGAGACAGTGGAGGAACCAGGCATGGAGGGAGGAGGCAGAGACAGTGGAGGAAGCAGGCATGGAGGGAGGAGGCAGAGACAGTGGGTGAAACTGGTAGGGTTTCGCCTGTTTGGGGAGTTTATATCCAGTGTACTTCGTGTTAACATTGCTATTGCTTTGTATGTCGGGGGCTTCATGTGATTGGTTGTTGGTCGCGGTGCTCGTAAAAAATCGCCAAGCTTCAGACACGCCCAGCTTCAAGATTTGTTGATGCCTGTAGTGTAGACGGGCCGTCAGGAGCATCAGGAGCATCTGGAGCATGTGAAGCATCCGGAGCATCCGGAGCATCCGGAGCATCTGGAGCATCTGGAGCATCTGGAGCATCAGAAGCATCTGGAGCACCTGAAGCATCTGGAGCATCTGGAGCATCAGAAGCATCTGGAGCATCAGGAGCATCTGGAGCATCTGGAGCACCTGGAGCATCTGGAGCATCAGAAGCATCTGGAGCATCAGGAGCATCTGGAGCATCTGGAGCATCTGGAGCATCAGAAGCATCTGGAGCATCAGGAGCATCTGGAGCATCTGGAGCATCTGGAGCACCTGGAGCATCTGGAGCATCTGGAGCATCTGGAGCATCTGGAGCATCTGGATCATCTGGAGCATCTGGATCATCTGGAGCATCTGGAGCATCTGGAGCATC